GGCTTTTATGATATTGGACTTAAACCCTCGATTTTAAAATATAAATTGTCTGCCCAGATATTTCTTCATCGCAAATGCGGCATATCCCTCGCGTTCGCGAAGCACACAACTTCATTGACCGGAATTCCTTCTATACGAACGCAAGAACCCTCTCGCGAACGCGATGCACAACAGACTCAACACTACGCAAACGCGACCCCTATTACGCGAACGCGTAGAACAAACGCTTTGGAGACCCAGCTACTCCTCTTCCTTTATGCGAACGCGACATAAGCCTCACGAACGCGGAGAATCACAGCATCACAATATCGCGAACGTGACACACAAAACAGGAACGCGAAGACAAAATTCGCCACCTCAGAGAACACTCTTCGCGAACGCGAGTCCCTGACCGCGAACGCGAAGAACAAATCGTCTGCAACAAAAACCAGCAAAAACTGCCAAGTCCAAAGTCCAAAATTGATCTGTTTAACCATCCGAAACTCACCCGAGGCCCTCGGGTCCTCAACCAAACATGCCAACATATCCCATAATATCGTTCAAACTTGTTCTAGCCTTGGGAACGCTCAAAACAACATCAAAACACCAAAATTATATCGGATTCAAGCCTAAGAATTCCAAGAACTTCCAAATTCCGCTTTCGATCAAAAAGTCTACCAAACTTCGTCCGAATTACCTGAAATTTTGCACACATGTCACAAATGACACAACGAACCTACTCCAACTTCCGTAATTCCATTCCGACCCCTATATCAAAATCTCACCTATCAACCAGAAAACACCAAAATCTCAATTTCGCCAATTCAAGCCTAAACCTTCCACGGATCTCCAAAACACATTCCGACCACGCTCCTAAGTCCCAAATCACCTAACGGAGCTAGCCAAATCATAAAAATTCTAATCCGAGGTCATCTACTAACAAGTCAAATCTTGGTCAAACCTTCCAAATTTTAAGCTTCAAACTGAGAACTGTTCTTCCAAATTCATTCTGATTACCCTGAAAACCAAAACCGACAATTTAGATAAGTCATAATACATCACACAGGGCTAGTCATGCCCGAGAACTGGCGAGCGAAGTGCAAAAGCTCAAAATGACCGGTCGAATTGTTACAAAAGGTAAACTTAAAGTTTAATTTTAATAAATATAGAAATGTGTCTTTTTTTAGATGGACTAAATAGGAAAGAGTGTCAAATAAATTGGGACGGAGGGAGTTATATTTATTTTCTAATTTGACAACTCTTTAAAAAAAAAACGGAAATTGAGTATATATGCAAAGGGGAAAAGACTTTTCCCAATCAATATTTTTACCTGAAACTATTAGAAAAATATGGAACTAATATTTCAATAGAATGAATAGGTAAAAATCTAGTGAATTATCCCCATTTGGTGAGTTTCATACCTAAATTATTGATGCTTTCCTTTTTCCACTGGAGTATAATTATTTTTAGATTTAAAACCCCCGGATGAATATGGCAAATTATTTGGGATAACTTGTTGAGAGGCGCGTGGGAGATGACAAAAAATCTTAAAATCGAGTCAATCTAACTGTTTCTAACAGGAAATCTATGAACACTCAATAGTTTATATGTGAACTCGCAAAAAGATAACAATTTAGATTTACCTATTACTCAATTTTTTATTTCACGTGCGTCGCCCAATAAGATTTCGAAGAAGCAAAAAATATCTGTACTGACAAAAAAAATCAATGAACACAACAAAGGAAAGCTGGGACCAAATTGGGAAGGACCATATCGAGTCACCATGGCACTAGTTATTTCTTCAATGCGAAACATCTGTTCTAAGAACTCACATGACTGTCATTGGCAAAATAAAGATTTTCTCTTTTTAAAATTTGAAGTCTTTGAATAAATATGGCTTCTTAAAAAATATAGATGAAATCATTCAAATTCATCTTGTACTTGCCTTAACATCGACTTGTTCAGAGTAAATTTGTTTGCCTAAAAAAGAAGAGAGAAAACAATACAAGAAGAGATCATTTGGTACGAAAGAGATAATTAATTCCAGGATTAAATTTAAGATTAGTTCATTATATGTTTAATTGGGATAAAATTGCGATATAACTAATTTCCGTACTAATTATCTGGGGACTGTATTGTTATTTTTATCTCTATGGGAGAATGTGATGACTATTCTCGGGATAAATTATTTTCCAACCAAACGATCCCGAATAGTTCTTCTTATTCGTCAAAGACAGACTCAAGGTAGCTTGCAGACACTGCAAATTGATGCTCTCAAATTGAGGAAGATCAAACATCTAATTTCAAGTGAAAGATATAGTTCAAGATCAAGTTTCAAGTGGATTGAAATTTATTAAATTCAAGATAAAATTTAAAGATTTTTGATAACTCTGGTATATCACCATGAGTTTTACCTATCTAAACAATATCTAAACAAGTTTAAATGAAGAAGCCAGAAAAACAACAATAATTAAAGTGGGAAAACCCTCATATGATAAACATGATGTTTAAGTGTCGTTATGTCGAAGGGTTGAAGCTTTATGAAATTTAATTATTTACGAATTAATAATTGACATGTTAAATAGCCCCAAACTGACATGTCTAAAAGATGATTCAATTTGATAAAAGTCACTTGGGTTGGCCACTTTTTAGGTCGGCTATTAGAGTTTAGCTATATTTTAAATTGTATTGGTAAAGTAGTCACAAGGACAGTTAAATTAAGGAATTTTTACATCTTATAGCAAAGGTTAACGCCTTATTTATTTTTAAAAAATACCATTTAAAAATATTATATTCTATAGATACCTTTTAATGTTTATAGCAAAATATCTAATTTTGGTTACCTCCTACCCCTAAGCCACTAAATACGCTATTTAATTACACTATTTTCTTTCTCTCTCTACTTTGATACATCTCATTCTCTTCCCCCATCCCATTAAAAATTTTGCTCTCCTCCTCCTCCTAATGCACAGCAACAACAAACCCTAACCCACACAAAACAAGCGCAAACCATCATTCTTTTTTGCTAAGTATTTAGTTTAATTTGGTTCAACAAATTTGACAGCTCCATATATAGTTTTTATGCTTACCCCAAAAAACTTTAGTTTAAGGAAGGATGCACGATCTGTCAAGATCAAGAAAAATATGGATATGGTCAAATTCAAGGTTTGCTGCTCCAAATACCTCTACACACTCTGTGTGTCCGACTTTGAGAAGGTCGACAAGTTGAAGCAGTCACTTCCTCCAGGTTTGAACATGCAAGATCTTTGAAGATGGAAGGACTATTTGGCTACAATGCGGAAATTAGGGTTTGTTGTTGAGCAAAGACGACGGAGTTTGGGGCTGAGCAACTTGATTTTCTGTTAATATATTTCAATGTATTTTCAACGTATCACGCTGTATTTTCATGTATTTCATTGTATTCATTGTTTTTTTTTCATTGTAATTTAATGTATCTCGCTGTATTCCGTGTATTTCATTGTATTCACTGTCTTTTTTTTCATTGTAATTCAATGTATCTCGCTGTATTCCGTGTATTTCATTGTATTCACTGTCTTTTTTTTCATTGTAATTCAATGTATCTCGCTGTATTCCGTGTATTTCATTGTATTCATTGTCTTTTTTTTTATTGTAATTCAATGTATCTCGTTGTATTCCGTGTATTTCATTGTATTCACTGTCTTTTTTTATTGTATTTCAATGTATCCTAATGTATTCTATGTATTCATATGTTTTTTCAATTAATATAATTTATGTATTCAGATGTATTATATAATTTCTCTTAAGATTGCTATATTTTTGGGATTTTTTCCAGTTGAGAATTTTTTTTATAATCGAAAATACAAATTTTGTGTGTTATAATTGAGTTTGTTGAGTTATATTAGTAGTCTATTATGTTAATTGATACAATTTCCGTTTAAAAACAGTGTAATCTCCTGTTTCACGTTGTGAATACAGTCGAATACAGTAATCTGTCCAGCTGTAATCCCATGTTTCATGCCATGAATACAGTCGAATATACTCAAATACAACAACTGATTAGCTGGACTTCCCTGATTCACGCCTATTTTTGCTACTTTATTCATGAATACAGTAGCTTAAATACATCAAATACATCATATAACCACAGAAAAGGTATCTATAATCCGTAATATAGCAAATGGTATCTATAAATGGCTAATTACTACTAAAAGATAGTGCTTTATGAAAATTCCCCTTAAATTAATGATTTCATCCCCAACTAAAATATGGAACACAACTTCATCGATCGATATTGGAATTCGAAATTCTGTGGAATCCTAGTAAAATATGCTAGAATTCAAAGATTTGCTGAATTTTCAAATCCAAGAACAATTCCTAATTTTTGAATCTTTACTAGTGCAAAATTTAGGAACGATTTTTGATTTTTAAATTCATATTATACTTCAGCAAATTTAAATCTTTACTAGTGCAAAATTTAAAATCCAAGATAAATTACCTATTTTAAAACTTTTACTAGTGCAAAATCCATGAACAATTTATGATGTTTTTGATTTCACAATACAGTTTAGTAATTTTTAACCTTTAAATAGAAAATTAAGGATATATTATTGGTTTTGAATCTTTATTAGTACAAAATCTAGGAAAATCAAGGAATGATTTATTGTTTTTGAATTCACATTATATTTTAACAATTGAGAGGTGCTACTTCATTTCATTCAAACTCCAAGAACAATTTCTGAATTTTGTACTTATAAATTTTCAAAGTAGTCATTTCTGGAGTTCTTCCGTGTTTTAAATATGGCTATTTTTCGTCAAATTCGTATTTTTGCATTAATGAGTAACTACTATGTCAATACTAATTTAAAATATGGCTAAATTGTAATAGCTGGCCCAAAAGTGGCTATTTACTAATTTCTCACGTCAATTGATCCGGTAAGAAAACATCACTGACCCAACTTGTTAAGATCCGAATGAGCTGGACGGGTTATATAAATATGGGTCAGATTTGACACCACAGCAGTCGTAAATGGAAACAATAATAGAAATACTAGGAATGCAATTCAAAATCAATAGAGAAGAGGAGCTCCACAAAAGGCGAATCTTTTGAATCAATCAAAGCAAGAGAGAAAAGAAGCTCCAAAGATGAGACGGAAGTCAAATCGCCAAGACAAGAAGAAAATATCAGTAACTTCCGATCGGCATGGAGAAGCAAATAGAGAAGAAGCGACACAAAGGGCAAGTCTTTTCGAGCAAAGCAATAGAGAAGCGACACAAAAGGCAAATCTTTTCAATCAAATTACCATTAGAGACGCGACACAAAAGCTTAATCTTTTCAGATGCCAACACAAGAAGAAGAAATAAGTGCCTCCCAATTAAGTTCGCAAAGGTATTACTTAGTTTCTTTCTACTGCATCTCTGTGTATTTTCTGCTTTTTCGAGTGTGTGTGGGTTTATTTTTGCATCTCGACTAAGTCTATCCTAACTTTGCCCACCAAGGTTTATGAGTTGTGAAAGAACCAACTTTTGGTTTCCCACTTGTTTCCAATATATACCTGCATTGAGCCCTGGACTAATCACGATTCACACCGGGAAAGAACTAATTTTTCCCCCTCCATTGCACTCGTAGTTCCAAATGTAAATGTATAGAGGGATCTCCTAGAATACCGTTTTGTAGTCCCAAAGTAAATATGCAGTGCTCGGGGATCTTCCGGAACACCATTCCGTAGTCCTAAAGTAAATATGCACTACAGGGGATTTTCCGGAATACCGTTCCGTAGTCCCAAAGTAAATATGCAGGGGGATCTCCCGGAATACCGTTCTGTAGTCCCAAAGTAAATATGCAGTGCAATCAACAGAGATAACAGATACAACACAGCAGAAACCTCGTGCATCATCATAACAAGTACAACAGCAACAATAACAATAATATAAAGTACGACAAGTAAATCAACTCAAGAACTTTAAATCATAAAGAAACGATAGAACTCATTCACAAGGAATAACAACAGTAAGGAATGCTAGGCGTAAAGAGAACAGCTCAACAAGAAAGGAACTAACATGCCACAACGATTCCACAATATACAATTCGGCAACAAGGAAAAACTAACACGAGTCAAATAGTTCCAAATAAGGGCAAGTCAACTAAAACATGGGATATCTAGACTTCTTTTAAGGTTGAAAAATTATGAAGAATATTCAACAATTCAATTAAAGATAGACAGCGGAAAGGTAATCATAACCTCCATTAAGGCTAAACAATTATAGGAGGAGATGATGATAATTTCAAATAAAGATAAGCAGTTATGAAGAGATAGCATGACAATAGAAAAGGTAAAATCTTCAGTTAAGTCAAATAAGAGTCAAATAGGCAATAAGAGTGAATCCTAAAGCAATTTATTCTAATTTAAGCATGTAGAGGTGAAACTAGTAAATAGAAACTCAGTCATATCAAGAACAACTTCATACACAGTGAATATAAGGACCTAAGAACCCTAAAAGGCTAATTTTCCACAAATAAGTCCGAGCACTCACAAATAAAGGAGCTTAAACAATGAATTTTCTATTTATTTCTTATTTAGACGCAACAACTATTTATTTCAACGATAAACTTTTCTTATTTTTAACTAAATAAATTAAAAAAAGGTAAAAATATATATATAGTTTATTATTAAAAATTAAAACATGAAAAAAAAAATTATGTAACAATGAGTATATCATACCTCCTTAGGCTAAGGTCATTCAGGGAGTGAAGGCTATCAAAATGTCAAATTCAAGGTTATTAGGAATAAAAATAGTTTAGGTGCGCACCAAATCATCTAGTTTAGAGGGTTCTGAGATATTATGCCTAAGAATTTTTAACAGAAGAAAAAAGAAACTAAATATATGCAATTTTGTTCTTTTGTTAGAATGGATGGTTTTAAAGGCGTAGGCGTGAGCCGAGGCGCTTTAGCTAAACGAGATGATGTGTAAGGCCTGAAACAATACAAGACTCACAAATCTTTAATTCTAATATTTTATAAATTAATAAAATAAAAATATAAATAAAATTATATTAAAACTGCAAAAAATTTAAAATATATATTAAATCGGTTATTTTATTAAGCGGACAGCTATTTAAATCAAAGAAGTTGGAGAAGTTGGGGAGTGAACTTCTCATTGGGAATTCCCAAAAAAAAAAGAAAAAAAGGTTTCGCCGAGAATAACAATTTCTGTCAAGAAATAAGAGTTGTCGCTACTGACTAGCTCTTTTCCAATAAAACAGGAAAAAAAATTTCATGAACGACCAACAGTGTCTAACTTCAGCAAATTTAAAGGACCGTTGATCCTCCGGGTACTATATAAAGGACTCTTTCCAAATTTGAAAGCGTTTGGAAAGAGTCTACCCAAATTTTGTCGACTCCAAACCATCCATGGCATTTTCATCTTCATCTTCCAAAAAAGAGTCTTTATGCTTTCCCTACTCATTGCAAAGTGCGAAGTCTAAGTGCCAAAGTGAATGTACTCTAGGCAGATTTTTTACTCGATCCGAATAGAAGCATTTCTACGAGCTATGTGAATTTTTTGGTTCCCAAGAAACATTGAGAAATAAACTGGACGAAATTGCTGATGACCGGAAGCAAGAATGGATATAGAATCGCTTGTTTGAAATTACTTGTCATAATAGCAATGCGGTTGGCAGGTATTACATGAAGGGGTTACGATTAGAGCTTGTGATTAATTGCTAATTTTTAATTTTATTTGAAAGTTAGGGTCGGTTCAGGATCAGGGTTTGTGAGTAAGAATTGCTAATCTCTTTTTTTCTTTTTTTTTCTAAAGAGAAATGACGGATACAGAATCACCTGTTTGAAATTACCTTAACAAGGATTCACTTAACGGATGCGCTTGGTATTAAATTATGGGGTTAGAGTTAGGATTTGTGACTAATTGCTAATCTTTAATTTTCTTTGTGAGTTAGGGTCGTTCAGGATCAGGGTTTTGTGAGTAAGAGTTGGTAATCTCTTATTTTTTTGTTTTTCTAAAGAGAAATTAAGGATAGAGAATCGCTTGTTTGAAATTACCTTAATAAGGATTCAATTGACGGATGCGCCTGCTATTAAATTAAGGGGTTAGGTTTAGGATTTGTGATTAACTTTTAGTCTTTGATTTTCTTTGGGAGTTAGGGTCGGTTCAGGATCAGGGTTTATGAGTAAGCGTTTCTAATCTCTTATTTTCTTTTTTCTACAGAGAAATTAAGGAACTAAAAGTTCAAGCTGAAGATTGGAAGACGCGAGCTGACAAGCTAACTGAGAATGTTGTTACCAAGCACTTCCGTATGCAGGATGCATCTATTGATTGGCCTCCAGCTCCCGAAGATATGGTACGACAAATTGAGCAAGAAGTTGAGAGGTTGAAACTAGAAAAAGAGAAGCTGGAATTAGAAAAAGTTGAATTGATTGATAGTATAATTTGGAGATTTTCTGTAGCCCAAGATCGTTAACTAAGATTGGAGGATTCAACTAAAGAAGAGGAAGTTTGAAAAGAGAAGAGAGTTTTTGGAAAGGGGAACTTTGTTTAGGAAAGAAGATTTACTTAATTTTTGGCTTCATTACAAATGAACAAGACACCTCCTATTTATACTTGTCTATGGATGATTCTAAATAATGTACAAGGAAAATTTTAGCTAACCTTATCTTCTAACGACACTTTAGAATATCTAGATATGTCTACTAGATAACCTTATCTTCACACAATATTCTAGAGCATCTAGATATTTCTACTAGATAAATATCAAGGATACTACACTAGGATATTCTAGAGAAATATATGTTTTTCCAAAAAATTAACTTACTTTATTTTTCTCACACTCCCCCTTAAAGTGATTTTTTGGAACCTATCTCACGCTTGTCGCGGAAGAACTCAACCGACTCTTTAGGATGCGCCTTGGTGAAGATCTCAACACTATTTTTCTGGCTTCTCTTTCTTCCCTAATGACTGAAGTTTCTTCCATTGGTCATGTAAAGAAACATGAGTATGTGTTGACAAAATTTTCATCTCTGAAACGAGCTGGCTTGACAATAATTCTTTTTTGACTTGCTGAAACACTTGAATCATCTCTTTGTTGAGTTTCATGTCGTTGAGTTCTTGGGCTCCTGGCACAAGCGCAAGTTCTTAAAATGATCTAGAAAAGGACCAGTTTCCCCATAATCACATCCTTCTCCTGGTACCATTAAATCCATCTCATCCCAGAAATCCTTCATCTTAGTATAATAGGATGTTATAGAGTCGGTACCTTGCCTCAGTGTTCCTATTATCGTCCATAAGTGATAAAATTTAATAAGGTTTGACTTGTTAAAACATTCCTTCAATTTTATTCCACACCTTCCTCACATCTGATGTGTAGATGATGCTTGGATACAATTTAGTAGACACAGTGCGACCTATCCATGAAAGCACCACATCATTACATTGTTCCCATTGATGCGCCAATTCTCCTCTGTAAGAGCTTTTTAACCAGGTTCTATCTATGAACCCTAGCTTGTTTTTCACCAACAAAGTCATTCTTATCGATCTGTTCCATAAGGCATAGTTTTCTGGTCCTGTAAGCTTGATATCTATCAATGCTATTCTAGGAGTATCAATTTGTTGTAAAAACAATGGGTGATTGTGATCGATTTGCAGACTTCCAGTTTCCGCCATGACTTACCAGCTTAAGCTTCGAAAATGTCGCCAATTGGAATTTTGAAATCTTCGATCCAATCTCAAATCGCCTACTATGATACCATGATAGAATCTGTGTACAGATCTAGCGAGCAAGACAATTGCATGCGATCGAGAAGGAAGCTAGAGTAGAGAGACGAAAACGAGAGAGGAAGAAAAAGAAGAACTTTTCATTATGTGTCTAACTACTCTGTTAATAAGAGTGAGTTAGTTATATACAACATAGCTCACACGACCTCACACGATTCATATGTGTAAAGTAGGTAAAAGGACTAAAATACCCCAACTCACACACTTTCTCTAAATATGCCAATGTAACTAACATAACTACCATAACTAATACGACCCTACTTTAATAGTTGTGTTATACTCTGATATGCTCATAGAGGATGAAACAGAAGTGGATCCAGAATTTGAACTTTATGAGTTCAACCTTTAAGGTTTTTACTAATGAACTTATTATATCCTCAAAGGGTTCACATCTATAATTTGTAGCTATTTTAGTGAATTTTTACATATAAATTTGTATTTCGTCTCGAAAATTATGGGTTCAATTGAATCCGGTGTTATAAGGCTACATACGCCCCCGGGATGAAGGCCCTTTTAGTGAAAATAACCTTTGATATCTTTCCGGTTTCAACCCGGTAAATGTTCCGGTGATTGTTCAATGAGATATAGTTTCTTTCATGTGTTCGCATACTTGTAATTTGGAATGGTCTTAGTAGATTTGGTTAGTGTAGTAGGGGATAATACATAATTATCCCATTGGGGTTGTACCAAAGTGTCAGTTGTACCCCTTAAAAATACGGGTGTCCTATGACCCCCTGATTTTATTTGAACCGTAATAAATACCATCTTTTGAGATAACCACCTGTTTCAAGAAAATCAGCGAATTACACGCACCAACCAGCTTGTGCCATGTCATTTCTTTTTTATTATTTTTATTTTTATCATTATTTTTATTGTATCTTTTTATATTTTTGCTTCTTCGTTTTTGGGACCTTCTTCTCCTACGAGATCAGCCTCGCCGAAGATTTCCACCAGCAGAACTACATTTAACTCAAGATTTCTTGAAATAAAAATAGAAATCAATCAAAATCCATCAAAAGTATTCCAGATCATGACAAAAATACAAAAAAACTCAAGAATTAAAATCAAACTTGACACCAAGTTAGAATCACATTTTCTGGTAGAACAGGAGAGGTTTTTTGACCGGCGAACCTCCATTGTTAATCTTTTCCAGTTCTCTCTATTGTTCTTGCCAGAATTTTTGAGTATTCGAAGAATAACCCTTATTTTTACCAAAATTCGAGGATTAGCCAAGGATATTCTATCCATCCAATGACAAATTTCCGTTAATCCCACCTCCATTTCAGATCTTCTCAAAGGAAAAGAAAAGTTTTTAACCCATAAAAGCAAACTTGAGTTATGGCAGACCCATACCAAGCGCCACATCAGCTAAAAAGGGGTATTTATTACAGTTCAAATAAAACCAGGGGTCATAAGACACCTATGTTTTTAAGGTATGCAACTGACACTTTGGTACAATCCCAATAGGTAATTATGTATTATCCCTAATATATGCACAACAGAATTTTAGTAGGAAAGGCTCTATTTTGCATCCATGATAGAGACTTCACTCACTTACTTGGACATATTTGAAACCATTGTTTCAATGTAGCTGCTAAAGGGAGAAAATTGAGGAAGATTGTACTATAGGTGTAAAAATCAAATGCTTATTTTTCAAAGTTTAATTCATGATCCAGCTTCCTCCTATTGATCTCGATAAGAAGGTATCTCTTTTTTTGTTTCTCGCCCGGTGTCCGATACCTGCATTGGAGTCCGACTATATCCGGATTCGCGCTGCGTAAGGTCCCATTCGGGGGAAGCGCTCCCTACCAAGGATTTTTCCATACCCAGGACTCGAACTCGAAATCTCTGGTTGAAGAAAAAACAGTCACATCCACTGCACCATATCTTTTTGCGGTGATAAGAAGGTATCTCTCCCAGCTCATCTTCTCTCCGTCTATTGGGCTCACTAATTTAATCAACTGTGGCTTGGTAAAGGGTTTGCAGTTGCTAGTTTTGGCGGACCAATTTAATTTCTTCAATATGATTTAACAAATGTTTCTTCAAGATATATTGGTTAGTGGAATCACAGATGTACTGTTCTTTGATGTGCTTGTGTCTTTAATGTCTTGCAATGAAACCAGAATTTGTGTTTTTTTTTTCTCAAGATTTAGTTAGTACTAATAGAATTAATAGTATAGGTTCTTGGCTTTGTAAGTCATAGGGATTTGCCAGGCCTTTTTTTATTTCAAGGAGCGCTTTTTTATTTTTGGTTATGATCTGGGTTGGTCTTTTGGGTTGGGCGAGGGGGGGGGGGGGGGGGCCCCA